TAATTAATAATTAGATAAAATATAAATATTCAAATTATAGATAGAACTAATAAATATAATGGAAATATTTGTGTAAGTAGTAGTTTTTCCTATTTTAAGGCCAATTTCCCCTGGGCTTTAACATTAACAATATTGTTTGGGCTTACTTGGCCCAAACAAAACTCATGGCTCCATTTACCAAGCCCATTTCAAATCAAATCATATGTAGCTGCCTAAAGGGATCAATCCACAGAACTACACACAAATAATAGTAAAGATTGAGATGGAACTGTAAATATTGTTTCATTTTTAATCAGATATCTTTCGTTCAAGCCCTTTTATTAATATTTTATTTGTTTATAAAGGAGCTTTCTCATCCTAAAAAAAAATACTACTCGTAACTATGTAAGCAGGAGCGGATCCACATTGAAAGTTTTGACTGTTTGAGTATTCATTAATCTCGCATCTAAGTATATATATTTATATAAGAAGCAGTTGCTTTGTATAGTGGTCGATTGTTGGTGCTCAAAGTTATACATTGCATCTGTTGTGGCTAAGTTCGATTCCCTTTTACTGATTAAGTCTTCTTGGAGCACCCACATTCTTAAATTCCTGGATCCGCGACGACGTAAACAAAATTATGCTCGTAACATTTATTTTTTTTAAAAAAAAAACATGTGGTGAGTTGTACTAAAAACAGAAGTGTCATCATTACTAGGAAACAAACAAATAAATACTTACAAAATACAAAGGAGAAAATGAAGGGAATGAGTGGGCTTTTTGATAGTTCCCATGTCTTCCAATGTTTCCTTAAATTCTATTCAATCCATTCCTCCTAACAGAGAGTGATGTTTCATCAGCAACCAAATACCTAAAAGAGAGAATATTTTAAAGCCTTATGGAATGATACTAATTTTTTTTTTTGGAAAACTTATCTACTTACCTAAGTGTTTCTATCATAAATATTATTCGTAATGATCTTACTAATTAATACTTTCATGTCAGATTCATTACTTCCTCACATTTCAAGTCAGATATATGTATTTTCTTTTTATGTTAGATACATTTTAAAATACATAGGAATAGAGATAAGCAAGAAAAGAAAGTAATGAGCAAGAGAGGAAAAGAGACGATTGAGATAGGAGAGGTGGGGGAGAGAGTCAGTATATCCCACGCACATGTGAATCATTTGAGATAACAAATATATTCTAAATACAGGAAAAGACGTGAGCGGTCAAGCTAAGAAGGTGATGAGCGAAAAAAGGGAAAAAGATAGGAGAGAAGCAAGCGAAAGAGTCATGATATTTCATATACATGTGAATTTCACTAGATGTGTATTGTAACAGAAATATCTAATACATTCCAGATACACTCTGAAATACATATACATAAAAAAAAAGCGAGTGAGAAAGCTAAATCAGTATATCTTAATCTTCAATACATATAAATCACACTTAAATACAACATATTTAACTTATATTAATAAACTAATTGATCGAACAACACGAACTATATTAACTTTTTTTTGGTATGTGCATGAAACCATAACACTATTGTGAGAGTTGGAATCAGTGTTCAGTAAGGATATCTTTCTTGACCATCTTTTTTGTCACACATAAACATAGTAAGTATTTATTAACATACTAAAACCCTTTAATAGAAGAGACTGCAAAAGCCAAAAAAAAAAAATTTTGCCAAAATTAATTAAATAACTCTGCAATTACGGCTGTGAATTATAATTTTGAATAACTATAGTTGAATGGCCCTAATTGGCCACCAGTCATTCAAATAAATCTAGAGGTAAACATAGTACGATCTTTTGTATAGTTTGAGTGACTCTGAAAAAGAAGTCCTTTTTCTTTGTTTTAAATGGAAACAAAATCTTTGGAATAAAATTTAATTCTCACATTATATTATATTTCTACATAGATATTTTCTTTTATTTACTTTGGAATTGTAAATCAAAGGGCGACATGACAAACTAATAGTACTTATTACTCATCATTACATGCATGCACTAATTCCTAATTAGTATTTCTCTGTTTAAATTTTATATGAAATTAGTTTAATTTGGCTCGAAATATCTAAAAAAAACTTTTAAAATTTGTACTTAAAATAAGTAAAAATTTGTGCAAGTTATATTAAGAATAATATAGATAATTTAATGTTAAACTGTTACTTAATTTAGAAATATATCATTTTTAGGATGAACCAAAAAAACATGAGTGATATAAATTGAACAAAAGAAAGTACTAACAATGACCAATTACTTTCTATTCGATTCATATGATTCAGTTTGACGGGATACGAAAATTTAATAAAGGGAAGAATAATTAATATATCTTTGATATAAAATAAGTCAGGATGGACATAATTTTTTATTCTAAACAACAAAAAAAATTTCACGAAAATTTAATAAAGGGAAGAATAATTAATATATCTTTGATATAAAATAAGTCAGGATGGACATAATTTTTTATTCTAAACAACAAAAAAATTTTCATGTTGATATTATTTAGTTATGAATTATAAGAAAATTCAATTACGTAGGGGTATTTTAGCAATAAATTAACTAGAGATTTCAAATAATGTTCGTAGTTAATTTCATTTTTTTTTGGATTTTTATGTAGATATAATTAATTGATTTCATCAAGCGTAAAATGAAAAGTTAAAATGCTCCGATCCTCTAGGTTATAGCCCGATTAATCTAACACTATATATTTTTTTTTCTTCAAAAATGATCCAGTGTAATTTTCATCAGTCATAAGGTCTGAAGGTCAAAGTATACCGTATATACAAATTTTACATCTATCATTATAGAATCGATATATTATTTTCGAGAGACCCTTGACTCAAAAAAAATATCTAATAACAATTGAATTTTAAATTTCTCATTTTTATTTTATAAGATAATTTAAAACGATACAGAATCTATATTTATTTTAACCCTAAATTCTTAAATTTTTTTAAAAAATAATCAATTTCATCTCTTGTCAAATATTATCACATAAATTGGATACCGACTATGAATTAGAATATAAAGAGTACTAGTCATGATTATTAAGATGAAGAATATTGACAAGTAGCTTTTATGTATTAGAACCAAGGTTTATTGCATATCTCTTTAAACAAATAAAAGCCTTTTACTTTGAGTTATCGTCTTTCTCTATCAGTTGTTAAGCATATACTATCTTTTTTAGATTAAAAATCAGTCTTTGGTGGTTTCTATTTTAAGAATATATTAAATCTACTTTTTGAAAAATAATAATAATAAGAATCCAACTGTCAAAAATAATGATTACATAAAGGAAAATTAGAATGAGAAAAATGACATATATTGACATGCATCAATTCTTAGGTTTTCAAATTTAACAAAATGTTTTGACTTTGTTTGTGTAATGTGTTAGAAAAGAAAACTTTAATATAATTAGATGGAATCCTATAATCGATGGACGTGAACTATATATTAAAACTCCTATTTTCAAATAATTAAGTTGCATAATATGTGAATTATGATAAAACGGTTGATTTTTTTACTTGTAATCAGCAGAGGCGGAATCAGGTAGGATTAAGGATGTCATTCCAAACCCATTGTAGTGAAAATTATGTTGTTTTACAAAGTTATTTTTTCTTTTATGTACGTATATTATAGAGATGTTGGATCTTCTTGGACTTCTAGGTATACATACTACATCTTTATATTTTGAACCCTAAATTAATGATAATTCCGATTCCATCATTGTTCATCAGAGGCCTCTAGTTCAAGTCCCTAGAAATGAAGAAATCCTGTTGAAAGCGTCACCTCTAAAAATGAGTTTTATAATACTTGATTCCTGATTTAATCGAACTTCAATATCATACGACTTTAATTTACAACCTCACTTATAGAGTTCTTTTAAAAAACTAAAATCCATAAAAATATTCAAAATTGTTGTTTTGAAATGTTGAATTGAGCATTGGAAATGTAAATAAAAAAAGATGACATAAGGTTTAAACTGTATTTATTGTAAATCAGAGGAACATCCTCTGATTCTATTTCCTAGAATAAGCAAAAGGCTAAAATTGGCAGTATAAAGCCAGATAGGATATATTTCTTCTCAAGAATTAAGCTATACATATATAGGGCAAAAAATTATCACATAATATAATAAATTTTAGCACATGATAGGAACTTAGTTGGCATTTTTTAATATATATTACAACTAGTATTCGTTACATATAACTTACGTATAAATATTACCTAAGTCCAATTAATCTAAATGTATATAGTTTAAAAGTAAAATTGACCTATTTTTGAATAGTTTAAGAGCAAAATTGGTGTATTTTCCATTGGGAAGAGTATTTTTGAGCTATTTGACTAATTGGAGCATTGGAGGATATTTTTGAGCCAACAATGTAATGACAAGGGTGTTTTTTTACCTATTTGAAATAGTTTGAGGGTATTTTTTTTTGATCATTTTCGCTTTTCCAGTTACAAAGGATACGTATATTAATAATTAATATCGATTTATAGCTATTAGAATTAGTATAAGTGGGAGATGGCCTTTTGTGGCTTAACAAAAAGAGTTTCTCCTTTGTTTGTGTTCTAACTTTTTGGAAAAACCTAATCGGTATATTCTCCCAATCTAAAATAAATAATAAATATTTGTGTGATTAAATCATGTCATTATAAAGATAAAATGAGAAGTTTTAAGTTAAATTCTTATTAAATTAAGAAACATGTCATTCTTTTTTTTGAACCGACTAAAAAATAATGTGAATAAATTGAGATAGAAGAATCATAACTAAAAAAATCATACTCAAATCTTGCAAATTAATTATGAATAAGTTCAAAAATTATATATAAGAAATCACAACATCTCGCTATTTATATGTAAATATTTTTGCACTGTCGATACATAAAACTTAAACTCTTTAATCCTAAATAATGTCACCAATGGTTCAATTCTACACCCTCCACCCCTTCAACCCCCCCCCCCACCCAACCCTACTAGCTTTTTGTCTCTCACAAATACAAGCACAATATCCCAAATGTAAGCTCTATATCATCATCACCTATGCCCTGCTAGTAACTCTCTCATTTAACCCTATATATCTTCCCTTATCACTTCCCTCCAAACAAAGAGAAAAAAAAACACTAAAATATAAGAGAAAAATTAATTTTGTTCCTAGTTGTCTTTATAGGCCATGGAAAAAAATAGTAGCAAGTACTTCAACAAACACCAAACCATGAAGAATGTTAAAGAATATTCATGGGATAATAATTATGTAGATCATCAAGGTGGTGATTTAGTTGGAGGGTTTTTATGGCCACCAAGATCTTACACATGTAGCTTTTGTAAAAGAGAATTTAAATCAGCTCAAGCTCTTGGTGGTCATATGAATGTTCATAGAAGAGATAGAGCAAGGCTTAGACTTCAATCACCAACAATTCTTGAATCAAACCCTAACCCTAATTCAAATCCTAACCCTAACCCTAGTTTTGTTTCATCACCATCTTCTCCTTCAACAAAACTATTCCCTCCTTTTGTTTCAACATTACCTCCATTATTATCTCCTAATTCATTTTCTTCTTCAACCGCAGCGGGCGGAGGCTCTCATGAGATGAAAAATGGAGATTTGACAAAAATGGGAAGTGCAAAATTTGAGGAAAATGGAAAGGAATGTAGTGAAGTGGTGAAGAGGAGTGAATTTTTGAGATTGGATTTGGGAATTGGTTTGATTAGTGAATCAAAAGATGATTTGGATTTGGATTTGGAGCTTAGACTTGGTTACATTTAGACTAGTTGTTGCCTTTTTTAATTACTAGTTCAAGAAGAAGGAAATAAAAGAAAGTCTAACAAAAAGTGCACTATTTTAGTTGAGATTGAAGATGGAAATTAGAAGATGTGATTGCCATGAAGACAGCTAAGATGATATTGTTGTTTTATTTTAGATTATTAATTACTATTGTCTCCTTCAATATATAATTTCTATGTTATGTATGTATTGTAACTCTTAGTAGATCTTCTAAAATTGATCATGTCTTCTAAGTACAATATTGTTATTGATGTTCTTTAGTTTGTTTTTCTTCTACTTTTATCTTTTTTAGAATGTCAATATGGAGTATAATTTAAGCTTTTGAATCTAAAGTTTGAAATTTCTCGAGAAGCTAATCATAGGTTGTTCTCTTCTATCACGTTTCTTTTTCTCTCCTCTATTTTTTTTTAATTTCTTGTAGTTTTGAAATCATGATCAGTTGAGTGAGTTTGATTAATATGTTTATACTTAGTCCATGTATGTTATTGCTATATTATTTTATGTGTTCCTTAATGAGTTGAGAAATGCATATATGATCTAATACCAAAAATTAGGGTATTAGAAAGACATAGTTAAGATATAGTGTTCATAGTCTACTTAGACACATAAGAGGAAGCTTATTGGAGCAACAATAAAGTTGTTCTTATTTGACGACTAAAGATTATTACCAGTTCAAGTCGTGGAATCAATTACTTCTGCTTGTATTAGGATACACTATACCTCCTTGGAGTGCGGACCTTATAACGTGAACGAGATACTTTGTACATTGAACATGCTTAGAGATGACTTATTTATGTCATCTTCATCAAACCTTTTAACAAAGATGGTTGATACAGTGCTTTACTTTCTAGTATTTTGGAATTAATAAAATTTACATTAGACAAAGCAAGTAAATGAACTCCTAGATCTACACTAAGTACAAACTTTGAGAAAGGACAATCATTTTCATTTTTATGGCCTTGCAAGCATGTAAAAATGCATTGGTGCACATGGAAAAATGTTGCATTTATCAGGAAAGTGAATCGACATGAAGTACCATTAAATTACAAGAAAAGTTCATGCTAACTTTTAAAGCCTTCGTGATTGAATCAGCGGTGGAGACAGAATTTTGTTAAAAAGTTTAAAATATAAAAAGCAAATACGCGAAGAAGTTAATAAAAAATTCAATATCTAGTATATATACACACAACTTTTAACCATTTATAACTAATATAATTTTATGACAAAGAGGTTCATATACCTACCTCCACCTTAAGATTTAAATTATATATTTATAGGTGAACCACTTCAAAATATGAGACTTTATAATTTCAATAATAGAATATGTTTATGTACAATAATTCATAAACTTTAATATGTGAGGAAGTATCAAAACATTATACAAATATGTATGTATGTTATTTCAAAGTATAAGTTGGATGTATGTATGACCAACTGCATGTGTCGATAGTAATTGCTAAGGTTTTTCGATACACAAATACATGTTATATGTATACATATGCAATAAAATTACATAATTTCGTTGTAATATATCGATCGAGATCACTAGTTCAAGTAATTTTTTTATTTTGTAAAAAGTTTAAACTAAGGGTGTTGTTATGTCACTTAATAAAGTTTTTATTGTACTTTAGAGTTAAGCATTATATACCAACAGTACATATCATATCTACTGTACTAAGTAACTTCCTCTGGGCAATGAATATAGTTGACTGAAAAATAAAGACAATAAACACATAAAAAGGTACTAACAAGTTTTTGCATATAAAGTCTTGTTGCCTTTTTATCATATTGGAGACTGTAAAGCTAAAATGTTTTTATGCCAGATAAATATAAATATACTATATAGCTTCCAACATTTAATGAAGTCTCTGAATTATCAATATGGGTTGTGGTGCAGTTGGTGTGATTATTTCATTCTTAATAAAAGATTTCTGGTACGAGTCTGAATATGAAGAAAAATCATATTGAGAAATCACCTTTGAATAGGCTCCGCAGTGTGCGATGCAAATTTAATTGAGAATTTAATAAATATTCCGGATCCCGGATGAAAAACAAAAAAAAATAATGTCTCTGAGCTTTACAAAAAATCATGTAGCTTATATAAGGACCAACTGAATGAATATGTTGTACTTTTGATATTTCCTTAACCATTGTGAAAACTTAAATTTTCAAGAATTGACAATTCTATCTGATGAAGTACTAGAATAGAAGTTAGTATGTGTCATGCATTATTGCCTCATGTCTTTTTTTACATTTTTTAGAACAGAGTTTCAATTAGCGTTTGATCATAATTTTTTAATAAAATATTAAAATTTATCTTCAAATATATTTTATATTTTATTTTTTTTAAGTAATTCTCAACTTCTAAAAAAGTTGGGCCCATTTTTGAGAGAATTTCACCTTGATTCACAAAACTGTAAATTTCATAAATCACAATTATAAAATCTCATATTTTAAACATCAACCTCAATATCTATAGAGCTAAATTCCATGACATGATGCCTAAAAGATATTTACTATATAAAAGGGTCTTGAATAAGTATTCAATAAATTTCTTGATAAATATTACAAAAAAAAAAGGTTAAAATATACGAAATAGAACAAAAATAACCCCAGTTAATTTATTGGTCTAAAAATATTCTTGTCATCATCAATAATTAGTGCTCATATTTATATCCGGCCTATATTTTTGATATAACACTTTAATATATCTTTTAACTAAATCTTGATAGATAAATATACCATCCAACTTTAAATATATACAAATAAACACTTAAATTTATACAAAAACTAAACAAACGGACACGTACATTTTATTATTACATTTTTTTGATCAATTTTAATAAAAATTCTACCTTCGTCATTAATTAGCGTTGCCATTGAATAAGAAGTGGTACTTGGTAGGTAGTGTATATTAAATCACATATATATTAGTATATGTATATAAGAGAATAAAAGAATAGTGGAAAGTATACAAGTGCTTCTTTGTACTAGTAATTAAGGAAAGTTGTTTACTTGTTTATAATGTTACTGACCAAAACAGCTCTCATTCTCTATTTTAAGTAATGTCATGATGCCCTTTCACACACAGAGGTTGTCGGGAACATGCAAACTATCAGATTTTGGGAAGAAGTGTCTAATGACAAAACTATAAATCATTGACAATACCACACCCCAGTAGGTGTGGTTTACGTTGTTTAGACATGCAATATGAAATTAATTTAATATGGTGTTAGAATTTTGGTCGGATATGTTGTTTGAATTTCTTAACTTGTAACTTTTTTTTTTCTTGGCTCAATAATATACCACTAGAGGACTTTTTTTGGTGGCATACCCTCGGTTTAATAATTTCAGATATAACTCGCATTTAAAGACTTGATGATTCACTTATTTTGAAATTCTATAACTTATACTAAATATCATATTTTGCTACGTCATTTACTGCATCAAAATGATCTATAGCGGCAATTGATTAACGATAATAGTTTATTTGTTGCTAAATATATGTTTTTAGCGATAATTAGCTTAGTACTCTTTGTACATGTCTTTGAAGCCTTTAGCGATATTAGATCTAATGACAATTAACTAATTTCAATACAAACTATTTTAGGAGTCTTTATTACTCCCTTCATTTAAAAAAAGATGATTTAGTTTGACTTGAAACGAAGTTTAAGAAAAGAAAGAAGACTTTTTAATCTTGTGGTTCTAAATTAAAGTTAAGTCCAATGTACCAAAATATCCTTCAATCTTGTGGTCTTAAACATACTACTTGGAAAGTTAAAGTTAAAATGTTGCCAAAAAAGAAAAGGAGTTATTCTTTTAAAACAAACTAAAAAAGAAATAGAAACATTCTTTTTTAAACGGAGGAAGTAATATGCATATTTGTTGCTGCAAAAGTTATTTTTGTTATAGTAATTTATTGATGCGATCGATGAGAGTCATCTTGGTTAAGGATGTTAACGAAGATGCATGTATTCTTTCTATTAACTAAGTTGTTAATATTTTCTTTTAAGCAGAAAAAGAAAGATAAAGGGAACATCTATGAATATTGTGTCTAATAGTTGATCAGAGTGATCCATCATTATCTTGTAATGACGCATATTAATTATCATAACCTTGTTTATCAAAATAAAAATGTGTACAATAGAGATGATATTCAATAACAAGTTATTGTAAGTGTTGATAAAAACTAATTATGTGTCTATGCTAGATCTAAAAGAGTATCAATTGACTGAGAAAATTTACTATAATATGAAGTTGCTAAGGACAGTAATACAAAAATCTAATTTCAACCAAACTAGAAGAGATGCTACTATATATAGGCCAAGCAATGGACAAAATTAAAAATTATGGATCGAAAGTTGGTTCATTAAATATGGGCGGTTAGTAATTAGCATGATGCTCAAGTTAATTCAAATTAATTAAGTTATAATTATGTGTATGCATTATTCAACCATCTAGATTTTATATATATATATATATATATATATATAGTAGGGC